AAAAAAAAAAAAAGAGTATACAGGACTAAAGAAACCATCACTCTCTAGGGTCTCACTGAATGACAGACAAGCAAGTATCTATTACCTTTGTCTATTCAGGAGGAGACTACTAAGTAACCACTAACCATTTCAGTTACAAAGTAACGTGATTTAGAATAGTATCCAGTACCAAAAGGAATGCTACATAAAATCCTATTGTTGCTCTCTCCTCAGTAGTGCAGGGACCCACTTTCAACTCTCTTTGAAAGTGCTCTAAACTTTCTTAAAAAAAAAAATCCTACTGCTTTACAAACACAAATATAATACAAGTCCATAACAAGGACCATATCAACATTCACACCCACTTTTCGCAGATGTACCAAAACAGAAAAAAGATATTTTCAAAAATTTAAGACTGCTTCATCAAGAAAAGAGATAAAGCAGTTTAACACCAGAACAGTTCACCCTGAGCAGGTTCAGTAACTTTGGAGTGTGTAGGGAATGGGGAAGAGGAGGCTTGTAGAATACCTACCGCTACTTTCCAGAACAGGGGAAGAAAACAACCTGAGTAATCCAATTCAGTTGACCAAAGAAAACTAATTTCACAGACCAGCCACAAGCCTGAAGGCACCTAGCATACCTACCATTCTACACACAACTCCACTGCCTAACAAAGGGTAGGTGAAACGCTGAACTCTTCCTTAGAGTTTTCCTGATGTGGCTGGAGACTTTAAATTTACTTGCAAATTGAGCATCCTCTCTGATAAAAACTGCTCTCACACAAGCCAAGGCCAAACCAGAGTAGAGTCAGCTTTCTAAGGTCCCGGATCCCTCCAGCGGTGCAGTTTTCAGAAACCTGCCTTGGGAAAAAAGTTCAGCAAGGGAGTCCTAGCCTGTTAAACCTTCTTCTCAATTCCCCCAATTCCTTCTCTCCGACGCTAAAGAGATGGCGGGGGAAGGCCTATGGGTGATTCCTTTGGGAACGATAAACCCAGGGCCTCCACCAGACCCACTGGTACTCGCGTCTCCAGGCACCTGAAGAACCACCGACTGGACAGAGAAGGCTGAGGCAAAGGGGGACAGTCACCTTCGCGGTAAGAAAGAGGGTGGAGGCAGAAACTCGGGTCCGCAGCTCCCGGAGGCCAAGACTGCCTGTGCCCGACCCAACACAGACACCGGAGCTGGTACAGAGGCCAGGGTACGCCCGCAGCCCCCGCCCCCCGCTGTTGGGGAAGGGGAAGGGGGCGGGGGCTCCGGAGCGCCGCGGACTTAGCGGGGAGGAGGCAGAGGAGGAGAGGGAGGCGGGGCGGGAAGGCCCGGCCCAGGAGCTGGGCGGCGCGACTCACCTCTGCTCCCGGCCTGCGGAGCCAGGGTGGCCAGGATCCCTCGCAGCTCCGACGCGGAGATCCGCACACGCTCCAACCCCTCCGCCATCTTCGCGGCTGCTGCTACAGCTGCAGCTACTCCGCCGCCTCCTCGCGCAGCCAGGAAACCACGACGGACGGGCGGCGCGCGCGCGCTCACCCTCCTCCCACCCTTTTCCCCGCCCCCACCTTCCTTCCCTCCCTAAACGACGGTGGCCGCACTGGGAGGAAAAGCGCTGAACGCACGTTCGCCAGGGGCAGCGCGGGGAACGCAGCCTGGGCGGGCGGGCCCGGCGCGGCGCGTGCGCAGAGGCGCAGCCGGGAAAGGTGCGCTGAGGCTGGAATTGGAGGCGCGGTGCGGGTAAGGTGAGGTGAGGTGAGGTGAGGCCGGGCCAGGCGGGCGTTCGCGGCGGTGGCGGCTGTCGCTGCGGTGGCGGCCACCGAGAATACCAGTACGGTCTGGGACTCGGGTTGGCGGAGACTTCCCACATTCTGGCCGCCTTCAGTCATCTTAGGCCAGAGTCTCTGGCCACAGGCCCGGACTCGTGCCCCAGGCTTACCTTGGGGACTGTAAAGATCTCGTCAGAGTGGTTAACGTTATCGCCATGTGTAAGATAAGGAAACCGAATTCCAGAGAACTGAAGTAAATTCCCAAGGCGGTACAGCTGATGAGAACCAGAAGACGTCTCGTTCCGCTGTGGTAAACTGCATCCCCGTGCCTCCTTACTTTTAAAAATGTGTACGGTATAGTTGGCTTTTAGTGAGGGACTGAGCTGAGTGGAAATACGTCAGGGGGTATGTAAGTTGATTTGGGAATTTCTCTGTCACTGTGGGTGCTTGAAAAAATTATTTCCCCGAATCTCAGGTTGGCTTTCTTTTCTTTTCTTTTCTCTTTTCTTTTCTTTTCTTTTCTTTTTTCTTTTTTTTTTTTTTTTTTTTTTTTTGGTTTTAGCCTGGGAACCACTCACAGCGCCACCTGCTGTCTAGAAAGTATATTGCAGCATAATT